TAAGACATCTATTGCCACAGTGCAACTTCTAAAATCTTTTTGGACTATTTTCCATATTTTCTTTTATAAGTTTTATTTATGTCTTTTTACTATTTGTAGTCCATATTGATACATTTTGGCGCAGCCTTGCATTACTGTTGATATTTTTCACTAAACCAAAAATTGTCGGGAATTCACAACAGTCGGGTAAATTTAGGTCAAAAAAGCCAATCTGAAAAAGAAAACTTTCCAGATTAACAAATTTCCAATTTCAGCTATTTAATCAGTGGAAGCTAGTGTTGTTTAACAATAGATTCTAGCCTCTACCCCCAGAATTTAACTACAGTGGAACCTCGGAACTCAAACGTAATCCATTCCCGGAGGCTGTTCGAGTCCTGAAGTGCTCGAGAACCGAATCAACGTTTCCCATAAGAATTAATGTAAAATTGATTGATCCGCTCCAGACCCCCAAAATTACAGCATTTTACATTTATATGTATGCATTGAAAATGCAGAGATCACTCTAATCATAATAAGCACCTTACATTTATTTGAGTGGTTCCTTCCTTTCAACTTGCTACAAATTAATTGTTGGCCATTATTACAAATATTCATAATAATTGTCTGCTGTGAAAATGAGACACGGCTCTTGGTTGTTCGGGTACCGAAAATCGGTTGCGTATCGAGACATTTGGCATTTTGTTGTATGTTCGGGTACAGGCTTTAAGTTAAGAACTGCACTACAACTCTCAGAAATATTTGCTGTACAGCCTAATGATGATATCAGCATTATTGGAACAAGAAAGGAAACACTACATATAGGTTGGGAGAGAAATAAATGATGGGCTTATGGTGCCAAAACTATTTATTAAAAAAACAAAACACCAAAAATAAATGTGGATTCCATGGTTATTCAGAATTGCAGGGAATTCAAAGTGAATTTCAAATTTAAGGTCAAAGTTGCTGAACTGTAAAAATTCTCCAGGTAAGTTATGCTTTCAGTTGGGGCACTTTGGCCTTTAATTTTAAATTCCCAACAATTCACAATTGGTGAATAAACCTGAATGATTCCTAGCTTCTATGTAATACTAGTGAGAATGACCGTCACAACCTTTCTCCCGTGTCCTATGCATTTTCTTCATTACTTTACTTTTTCCCCCATCCACTATTTCACACAAAGCAGATACAGTTTTTTGTTATAGCCTTGTTGTTTAACTGACATTTTTTTGCACGTCTTTGTGTATATGTGTGTGTGTGTGTGTGTGTGTGTGTGTGTGTGTATATATATATATATATATATATATATATATATATATATATATATATATATATATATATATATATATATATATATATATATATATATATATATATATATTTTATAATTAAAAAAAAAATGTATTGCAAAAATGCTACCCTCCCAAGCTCAGACTTGGGTGATGATTACACAATGATGCAGAAAAAGAATGAAGCAAGGCACACTATAACAGCCTTGTAAAAGTGGGTCTCAGTGTCAGTGCGCAGGTCACCAAGTACATGCATATGTCTTTGTTTACTTGTAGATTTAGTGCATGACAAATCAAAAAATGAAAACAGTATTTTTGATATATACAAAAGTATATTATACCAGATTCATAGAATCAGTAAAAAGAAAAGCTTTCTCTTTTGAAAATATCTGTTTTAATTTAACGTTAAAAAAATTAGTCAGGACAACTATATATTAACACATGAATTATACAATTAAATATAACATTCTTTTTCTCAAGGTACAATGTACTCATATTGCTACTGAAAAGTTTGCAAAACATGTTGATATAAATATTCTCAGTAATTATCGTCCTTGGAAGGAATAGAACACTTGAGGTAATTTTGAGACAGTTTTCACATTTTTTTTTTTTTTTTCTTCTGGTTTTTTGTTCATCTGGCGACAGTATGTAGTTACTTACAATTAGTGGAGTTACCATGGATTTACTGTGGGTAATTCTAAAAAAAGTGTTTGCAGTCATATATGCCTTTTTTACTGTAGTTTTTTTTTAATATATCAGTCATTGGTAACATACATGTAATCAATGATTTTTAGCTCTTTGTGTGCCCCACAATATAAAGCTCTATTGATCAACAGTTGCAACTGCAAAAACACTGTTTCAAATGTATGAATGAAGGGAATGCCACTTCAATCTAATTGCAATGGGGATTTTCTTTACAGTAGTAAATGTAAAACTTCCAAAAAACTTTCTGCACATGAATTTTAATTGACAAAACAAGTATCAAAAGTTACAATAACAATAAAAAATGATATTTCACCACAAATAAGTTATATTAAATAATTTAAATAATACAGTATTATAAAATATAAATAAATCTGTGTTTCCCAAAAAATGGAAAAAAAATAAGTTCACCAGATACTGGAAATAAATAAGAATCTGAAAACCTGCCATGTGTGTACGTGTACATACACAGTTTATCACTGGCTTATGTCACATTATTCAACATGAATATTTAGTACATAAACATTGAAGAGACTCTTGTTTTGCAAAATCAAAGAACATTTAAATGGCATCATATTCTAAAGGACCCTTTGAACTGACCTAGTGTAATAAAGAACCCTTTAAATTACATCATATTGTGTGATAATATGACTTGTATCTCATATGTACGTATATATACATATCAGGAAAAAAGCGTTTGTCTGTACTTCATTATATGTTCAAGAGTGTTGAATTTAAAACGTAATGTACACAGCATCACAAGATGTACACAGCATCACATACTTATTATTTAAATTACTGTACACTGGAATTACACATTCACTCTCACTAGATTTATAAGAGAGTAAATTTACATATATATTTTAGAGAAATGAAACAAAACCATAAAAAATTAAAAAAGTTCTTAGTCCCCCAATATCAACCTGTCCTCTTACAGGTCATACATTCCCAAGAGCTGACGTTGAAAGTCCAATGCTATGTAATAGATTATACATTGTGATTTGTAGTTGTTCTTGTACATTCATACACAAAAGGGGCGCTTGTTTCACACATGTAAAACACTATAACATTGGCTGTCGCGTAGAAATGTAAAGACGGTGGAATGATATCCTCATCTATCCTTCTTTGTAGCTTGTAGACTTGCAATCTGATAGAAAGGAATGGCAATATTATCAATATGAATCATAGAACAGATAACAAATCATTGTAGCAGTTATTTATAAAGAGCTGTCCTGAGGTAAAGTTCTAAAACTGCAGCAATACCGTGGAAAGCAATTGTTGGTTTCTTGCATTTTCTTTTTCCAGGTTACATATGATTTTAACTCATATATATATATATATATATATATATATATATATATAAAATTAATATTTACAACAAACTATTAGTTATTTTTTTTTATGGTTATGACGTCAGGATGGATTTGGGGTATGGACCCTAACTCACATTCAAACAGGACTGTACAAATGGTAAACCTAACTTGAACACATGTGCATTAAGAATCACATGGTCCATTTTTAATAAAACCTCCAGTGTCCCTTATTGCTAGCGATGTGAGACCAGAAAGGTAAAAGCACAGAACTGAATCAAAATATGTACAAAAGAGTATCTGGTTCCTTATGACACTGCCAACAGAGCAGTCTTAAAGTAGAATATTTATAAGATAAGAAGCTTGGAATTATATACTTAAGGAATAATTGACAACAGGCCGTTGAATTATTAGAAAAATAATGCACACCCGAAGTGGTAATGCGGTCACGACACGAAGCTGAGTGGCCGTTACACCTCGGGTGTGCGTTATTTTTTTCTAATAATTCAACGTCCTGGAGTCAATTATTCCGCTTATACTCTGTTACCACACCTTGAAACATTGTTCAGATGATGTATTTCAAGACTTTTGTCAAGTTTTTGTCATTAAAATGCTCTTGTATGTAGGACTAATTTCTCACGCAACTGTAATGCGGTCAAGACCTGGTTGGAACTACTTTAGCCGTGCATCTCCCTGAAAATAATGCACACCTTAGAACGTTCGTCAACCAATCAGACTGACGCATTCAACTGCCCTGTAGTATAACACCTCATAACTAATTCACAGTTGGTTTCCCAGTGGAGAGTGTTCATCATGTATTTGTGCTACAGCTTTTGATCAATGCATGTAAATGTTTTCCCCAGTTCTTATTCCCATCTAGAGATATAGTCACATTTCTGAGGGACTGACAGCTGCACTGCCAATGAATAAGCAAGTGAGCGTGATTTCACTGAACATTTTTTACCTATGCAAAGTTTGTCACAGCTTTCTTTCATCTGAGGACATTGGGGTTTGCGTTTTTAGGATATGTTTAAGAACAAAACCTTCACTCCATGCTAGTGTACCCTTCTTGTGGTTGTACACAGTTGCACATCCATTGTTATTTTCTGACAATTTCCATTAGCAGATAGACCTGCCTGTGAGTTTGTGGGTTTCACAAATCAATACTGTGTTTTACGCTTTAGAAGCAATATTGATAAAAAAGCAGTTGAAATTTTGACAGCAACAGTTTCACGCTACTTTGCTGGTTGACAGCCGGGAGAAGAGGTTTTAAATAGTTATAAAACCATAGCATATTTTGAGATAAAGGTAACAAACATTACATTTAAGCTTTAGTAGACCTTTATATTTGTGCATTACAAGTTTTTCTATGGCATACCTTCTGTAACAATTGTTCCATAGCTTCCAGAAATTCCTTTGGTCCCTGCGTTGAATGTTCAAAACAAGCCTTACAAGTCTGTGAATTCAGTAATAACATGGTTGTTAGATCAGTTTTGCTGATCGGTATAACAGTTCTTTTCTCCAGTCAACATAAAATGATAGCGTGTTGTGACACTATCTAATGCTCTGTTTGTGGTTTATGAACAGCTGGGAAAATTGAAGGTGCTTGACAGGGGCGAGCCTTTATTTGGACATGAGAAAAACAGGGAAGAGGAGTCTGCGCTAAGTAACAAAAAATGATAGTAAGCTGCAACCCTAAAAGGTAATCCCTCAGAAACCCTCAATAAGATAACAGGAGAGAAAAGAAAGGGGGGAAGGGCTGCGCTAGCGCAGCCCTTCCCCCCTTTCTTTTCTCTCCTTTATTTGGACATGCCTGGAAAAAAATGTCAGTTTGTTTCGGGAGAAGTTAACAGACATTCAATGTGGGGTATTATGGAGGAGGATGGGAGGAGAGTACCCTGTACATAAGAATTTGAATGTATACATGCTAGCTTCTCTCAAAATTTCACTTCTACAATCTGAAAGGGCTAGGCTGGATATTGTATTCAGCAATGCAAACATGATTAATTACCAATAGAATTAAGATATTTACCAAATTAATATATTAAAATTAAGCTAAAGCAATTTTTCCCCTGAGCTATAATTTTCAAAATATAAAGAAGTGAAAAATCTTGTCATCAGGGGCATAAGAAATATACATTTAGCCAATACCCTGCCACGATTCAATAAAAAGAGCATCTATCTGCTAAAATGGATTCAACAGCTATAGTCTAACTCCAGACTTGAGCTGTTGGGTTGAGTATTGTCCAGCAACAGCAGTTAGACATAAAAGATTATCTTGGGCCTGCAAGAGTATCTAGAGCAGGGTCATCTAACTATGGCGTTCCCACTGTTGTTTTACTACTTTTCCCAGAATTGTCTGGCAGGGTCCACAAACAATGGGAATCGCTCCTATTAGGTTATGACCTAACGGTTTATTTTATTGGGATAACAAATATACTTACGTCATTTTTGTGTAATTTAGGCAGCTTCAGTTTTCTGACGGCTATGGTGAAGGAATGTTTTTTCTTTCCATTTGCTTCTATTAAGTTTGGAATCTGGACTCTGAAACATGTCAAATCTGACTCCATGCAATCAGTCTAAATAAAAGAAACAAAAAAAAAACATATTGTTAATAATTATTATAGTAAAGAATGAGGGAAATGTTAAACAAGCAAAATCATAATAGCATTTACTAAAAAGAATCAAATTAAATTTGTTATAAAGTAGAATGAGCAATTTATTGTCATGTTCCAAAACATTCCTGCCATTTCAACCCTACCAGACATTGTTAAACTCCACGTCTTTTTGGTGATAATGTAGTGAAAAAAAAAGAAGAAACTGAGAAATTGCAGTTTGAAAAACCCAGTCCTATAGAATAAAGTCTTGTAAGCATTAAGATTGTATTACATTTAAATCTGATTTGTCCAGAAGAACTAATAATTAGTTCTATAATAGAACTATAATTCCACGCTTACACCATGGCAATTTGCAAATTAAAGATGGCCTTTGTTTATCTCCTGTTTTCACACATTTGCAGAACTGAACATTAAACATTTTATCATTTACCCAGCTAATTAAATAACAATGGAACTGATCTACATTTTTCCGATATTTACCTCTCTCTTGTTTTATTTATTTTTTTGTTTGGTTATAAAATGTACGTCATTTTGAAATCTACAACCTGTTAAAATGTTCAGATTTCCTGTTTCAGTTTTCTAGTACAGATGGAACTAATTCATTTCTGTTTCTAAAGAAACCAGTGAAGCCTGGTACATTTACCATCTTTGACATCATGGCTCAGTTTTTTTCAGGCAGTTTCAGAGACACCACTTCATGGAATAATGCAGAAAAACTGAACATCTTTTTTCTAGCAACACAAATTTATCCCTCTGTGGTCTTGTCACCAAAACTTCCTAACCACATGTGTTTTTGTAATACGTTGCCCCAGGGAACTCCAACAATATGATATGTTTTTTTCTTTGACGGCGCTCTATAAATATCAATATTATAATAATAATATATAGGTGTCTATGTGTACTGGGGCCAAACCTATTTGTTCAGTAAACAGTGAGTTACAAACTGGGAACTATAGTCATAGAGTTATAGAGCTAGCTGACACAGCAAAGCGATTGTTTTTCCAACTTGTTTTTTTTTTTTTTTTAATCCTAATTTTACAAATGTGTTTGTACCATCTGGCTACTATACTAGAATGTAAACATTTTTGAATTTGCTGAAGATTTGTGTATTATTTTTTTAGACTATATCATTAGAGTTAAAACACTAAAATGCTAATAACATTTATAAAATATATGCTTCAAATATGTAAATCTCAAAAATCCAATAAAAAAAAATAAACTCCTTAGGGAATGATCCACCTGGCTGGTTTTAGATCGACCCAGACCACTTCAGATCATTAAAGTGGTCTGGGTGCAATGTCACTGTCTCCCTTAATGCTGCAATGTAAATAAATGCCGTTTTAGAGAAACTGCAATAATTACATTCCAGGACTAAGACTGCCTCTAGTGGCTGCTAATCAGCCACTAGAGGCAATTCCTGCTTGCAAGGTGACTTTTGGTCCCTAACTGCGCTGGATATCCTCACGCTCTGCATGAGGACATGCAGCGTCAGAAAAATTCCTATAGGAAAGCATTGCAGAATGCACTGCACGAGTGGATGACGTCAGAGAAGGCGAATAGCCGATCCAGCGCCAAGTGAGATCGGAGCTGCTATCGGGTGAGTACATAGGTAGGTTTTTTTTTTTTTAATCCTTTCCATGCTGGGTGGGACATGGGACAGAGGGTACTACTGTGTAAGGAATACAAATGTGTATAACTTACAATGTAGGACCCCTTTAATAGTTAATCGTTTACAAATAATTACATGCATCCCTCTGCAGCTAAACACATTTTTTTTGTTACTATTCGCACAATATGTTCTAGTAGCAATACATAAATAATTCGATACAATATTTTCAAACATTCACAGAACAGTAATTGTATAAGACTCGGGTGTGTATTTACTAAATTCTGCATTGTATTACATTTAAATCTTAATAGTATGTCTGAGGCTTAAACAGATAACATGAAAATAACCTCCCGTAAGTTACAATCAGAGCTTTGATATTTTAGCTTAAATTCTAAAATTCTGGTTTCAATCTGCTACGATGCAGGGTTAAGTGAATAAAGCCCTCGTGGTCCCAATATGTTTTAGAATACAGAAAAATAGTTACTTGTTACTTTTCGAATGGATAAAATATTATAATAAAGCCTTAAACAAAAACCTACTTATACATTTTCATCAAAATCTATTTCAGAGCATCTCATTCTTTGATGAAATAAGCATTTGCTATAAATTTATATTAATTACATATATTTGATTATTTTCCATTTTTTAACAAATAGTAGCTGGAAATGTTCACCTGTTGTATATAACTGTCAGTGAGTCAACAGCCCCTATCAGCGTTATTGTGTATGTAATTTCCTTTATAATCTCTTGAGATTAGCTACACTAATATAACACTACACAAGTAAAACTCCTTTCAAACCACAGTCTCAGATAATTTTTTTTTTTCTCAGATAATTTTACAGTAAATGAAATGGAAAATATGTGCATCAAGGTATACTTTTCCACTTAAAACAGCAATTATTTGTTTAGTTCACAAGCCATGAGAAAAACGACATGTGATACAATTATCAATCTACAACAAAAATGAACTTTTTTTCTGTAAATAGTCACGTATTTAAATTCTTCATAACTGTCATTCTGCAGACAAAAGTAATCTGACAATGCCGTATAAAACAAAAAAGCCAATGTCTGTCTATTATATTAATCTATTATACAGACAGCAAATAGTCGGGTTTATCATAACTGAATGAGGGTTTTCTTTCTTGGCTGGCTATGTTGACAATCATTCGCAAATCTATTGTCAATTCATCAAACCCAAGGTCAATCAAACTAAAGTAAACGTGAACTCTATTGCAAAATGTAGGCCAAAAGAGCTGATTTTGAAAAAGTCTATAATTCAGATGTAGTCGCCGATTGCTTATTTTAGACCACATTTTGCAATCCTGATTACATATGCTACAATTAACTTTTTAGTGAATACACCCATCACTGCTTAGTGAATAGACTACAGAGTGTATTCCATGAGAACAGCACTAGATCATTGTGTATTAGGATACAGACCTGCTACATGTACACACTGGAAGCTATTGTCAAGGTATGACAAGAATATCTTGCTTTTTACATATATTCAGGGTTATTCACAAAAGAGAGAATTCAACGTAAAATTTAATTTAAGGCCAGAGTAGCCAAACTGAAAGAATAGCTGACTGAAAATATATCTAGTTTGGTTATTTTGATCTTAAATTTGGAATTCACTTTGAATTCTCACCCTGACTGTGTTTACACACCTTTTCAAACAAGAGGTTGGCTGTTAAATGCAAGGCACTACTTTGCTGTCAAAAAGGTTTCTGGTTGACTGTAATTTTGGTCACATAACACCAAGTGAGGTGGTCAGAGGAGGTTCCAAGAACGTAAACATCAGCATAAAGCAACAAATAAAAAAAATAAAATAAACAATACATTGACTAAAACCAGTACCAGTATTTGACTGACACCGGATTCTATTTATATCTTGAAGTAAATGTATCATAAGACCAGAGTATACTGAAGTATCTATTTATGTATTGCATAATTTGCTCACATTAGTACAATGATAGAAAAAGCATTAACTGAAAAATCGGAGGTACAGAGGCTGCAGCAAAGGCCAGGTTTTCTGAGGGGATTTTAGAATCTGGAAAACCCCAATAGTTGCTATAGACATTCCTAAGTGCCTGGAAGAGGAATTTGAAAAGGGGGAATATTGAATGTAGGGTTGAATGTGGTAGAAACCCTTTCAAATACCCTCTGTCACCTCCTAAATGAAAAGATAATGTTACACAAAACATGTTTTAATGTATTATTTAAAATCATTTAATTGATCTGGACAAATTCTCCAAGTCTGCTGTGCTTCCAGTTCAGCTATTTTGGCCTTAAGTTTGCTTTGAATTAATGTTGAATTCCCGGTCATTCTCACTTTATTGATTAACCCAGTGCATGATGATTTGCCCCAAAATGGACCAAAACCCCCACTAGAATGCTGTTATAGTTGCACCTTGAAAGTATCATCCAAGGGTTGCAAATAGACTAACTTGGACCTTGGTGATCCAGGTCTGCAAGTTTTTAGAGCACATTTATCAACTACTGGCCTGGTGTGAACTAACCAGCATGCATTGAGCTTGATCTAGAAGCTTGTGAATGGCAGAAGTTTTAGCAATCTACATATTTC